GGGTCCGGGCTGGGGATTCGAACCCGCCACCTTAGGTGTACATGGCTGGCACCTTAGCCGGTTGAGCTATAGGCACTGAGCCTCAGGCCAGGATTTTGAGGCCAGAGTGGACAGCAAAGCAAGACCTTGTCTGTACAAAAAAATTGAAAAATTAGCTAGGCGTGCCAGCACACGCCTATGGTCTCAGCTACTCAAGAGGCTGAGCCAGAAGGAGGGGTTGAGTCCAGGAGTTTGAGGCTGCAGTGAGCTATGATGATGCCATGGCACTCCAGCCTACGTGACAGAGTAAGACCTTGTAGTGGAAAACCAAAACCCACAAAAAACTTGATTTAGCCATCTACAATGTATGCATATATGAAGACATCATTTTGTACACCATAAATAAATATAATTTTTATTAAGGATTTTTTTTTTAAAAGATACTTTATAATTTAGTCTGATATTTCCTCTGTGTTAATTAATTTAGGGATGTTTTGATGTGTTCTTTGTTATGTCTCTTACATACCAGTATGTATTGCTGAATTATAATCATAAAACTGAGTTAACATATATCAGAACTTTAGGACTGTGCCTGACAGATAGTAAGCACACAGTTTGACCCAACCTTGTGAAGTCTCCTCTCCAAGCCCCATATGTGCTCAGGATGAGTCCTCCACTGACTTATACATGTGGTCACCATCATGTGGGCATTCCTGCTGCTTCCAGCACATCAGCACGTCACATCCCCCTCCGAGTGCCCAGGCTGTGAGTTGTCAGGTGGGATGAGCTTCTGGGTCTGTGCCTACTTGCTGCTAAAGATCTGACTATGTCCATGGTTGAGCTGCTCCCCCAGCCTCCTGCTGCCCTGGTGAGCATTAATACACTTACGCCTGGTTCCCACTCCCTTAGAAGCATTTTCTCCTGGGCCTCCCCCAGTTCTTTTGGGGGTCCCACCACAGCGATTTTCCCAGGCCAGGCAGGCCTCAGTGGGGTTCCTATGCCTGGGAGCATGTGCCTGCATGTGTGCAAGGGGGAGGTGTGTGCATACGGCCTATGGACAGCAATTAGGCAGGTCACTGCAAAATGGGGCATCTAAACAGACTGGGTGCCATACTAGATACGAGGGAGCTGAGGAAGGG